TTAATTCCTGCAATGAGCAGGAATGCACAGAAGATGAGGATTAAAAATTACATAATTTGATAAATTAACAGGATTATATTTAAAATTAATAGATCAGGAAGAGCTAAGAGAAAACTAACGGTCTTGGCCTCCTAGTCTCTCAACTGCGCGAGCAAAGCACATATGGAGATCTGGAGTCCACCGAAGCCTTGGGATTTTGGATCTGTTGTATGGCCTCACAGATCCTGCAGTACTCTCCATCTTTCTCTCTCCTTCCTCTTCTGAACTGTTGCCCAAACTCATCTCAGAACTCTTAGGGCCTTCTTCTTCATCTTCTTCCTTGTTGGAAGGATTAGGGTTTGCTGATTCAATTGAACAAGCTTCACAACCCATGACAGCCAACAGCTGCGTGCAGCTGATTATTTTGATCTTATAGTTGAAAATATTGCTATCTGGTTGAGTGTTCTACGGAGGAAGAGCAATTTCTGAGGCTTGTGCTCATCTGAAATGGTTGAAAGGAAGGGAAAGGGATGGAAGAGAAATTTTAAAAACCCTAAGACTGCTATTGTTGATTTTTCTTCTTTCTATCATCACTCTTGTGTTAAAAATATTTGTGTATGTGCTCCGGGTCGCTTTCTTAAGAAAAAGAATGAATGCGTAATAAATCCAAAATTAAATTAACAAAAAAAAAACAATTTTTTGATTGAATGATAATTTTTTTGTGCAAAAATGTTTTGTGTGGGGTCTGAATGCATTCGGGCTTCGTGCACAATGAGGTTGCTCAATTTGTGTGAATTTTATAACATGTACTTAACCTCAATGACACGAAGTTCAGATGTATCTAGACTCCACAAGTAATATTTTCTCCTAAAATGGAGGTTCGAACACAACTTATTGAAAAAAAAATTCATATATTTGGTGATGTAGTCATTCGGTATTATTTTTGTCAAATGTAAAACTTTAGTTATTAGAATTATTATTTATTATACATAAAACAAAAAATAAGTGTGGAAATTAATAATCTTATACCTTTCAAAGTAATACAAGAGAGAAAGAGTTTTAAGTGCAGTCATCCATACATGTGGATTCAGGATGTAGACAAGTATACCTATCCAAACGTAATATTTTTGCCCGAACATAATATTTTTTTGTCAGAAAGATGAGAATGTTCATGTATTTCTTAGAACTCATGGAGTATATGTGAGAAAAAATTGCATTTTTTTGGAAATCATAACGAGTTACGTGATCAAATTTCAAATTCAAAATTAGATGAACAAATAATTTGATCTAGTAAGCAAATTATCAAACTAAAATTAATCTATAAATAATTGGACAATTTTTTTTTATTTTTTTAATTAATAGCCTATCTATAATAACAAAAAGAATCACAATTATTTAAAAAAAATTATAATAGGACATAAATTTGTTTATATAAAAAGTAATAGACAACATGACAACTCTCTTAATTTTTTTTTTCAAGACATAATAGTTGAGTGGTGAAGTAGGAATAAGAAATCATAGTCTAAAGGATAAAAATGGAGATATATAAAGTACTATGCCAGTTCATATTAACTGGACCAAGAGCTATTATAAGTGATTATAAAGACATATGCAATAATTCTGAAATCATTTACATAAATATGCAAGATAAATATATAATTACATCACTAACCCAAAATAAAGAAATTAAATAATAGTCATGTTCACAACAATCTTGAAGAAAAAAAACAAAATTTTACAGACATTCATAAAATTTATGAGGTATAAAACTATAAAAATGCTGCTGCATATAACAAAATTCTCATGCATTTACATATCTAACACACAACAGTTTGCTATTTACACTTTGGTGTCATAATGAAAATAATAATATTTTTAATTATGTTAAAAATTGGAGTGATATGCATGTAAATATTGTTTTAGTGTTAAAAATATAAATAAATAAGAAATGTGGGATATTTAGTTTAGTATAATCACTTTCGTATAATTTAGTTTGTTTTCATGGAGAAATATTTGTGTACGCAGAATTTCATGGAGCTATATTACACTTATGTTACAGGAAAAATTACAAGGGGTATAATTCAAGTGTAACCTAATTATACCCTCCGAATAACCTCAAATGTACGAGAAATATTTGCGTACATAAGATGTACGCAGCGCTGCGTACATCAGAGGTTATTCTGGGGGTACAGGGGAGTTATATTCGGGTTATACCGGAGGTTACAAGGGAGTATAACCCAGATATAACCCCATTGTACCCCCTGAATAATCCCTGATGTACGCAAAGCTGCGTACATCTTATGTACGCAAATATTTTCCCAAATGTACGCAACTCTGCGTGCTCTTTCCGCAAATATTTCTGGTTTTCATGGGTTATGATGCATGGGTGGATGGCTGCATGAATGCGTGAGGGATATATAAAATGGAGAAGATGCGAGCTGTCGATAATAGCGACCGGAAGACACAGGAAATTTCCGGAGAGAATCACGGAGGCCTGACGGATCAATAAATTATTTGCTACCAAATAAGGTTCATTTCGTACTCTTTTTCTCTTTTTTTTTCAACGCTGGATTAATATTAGAAGTGAAAAGAAAAAAAAAAAAAAACTTTACTGATTCCTAAGGAGTTATCATGCTTTAAAAAAAATATTTGATTGGTGTTATTATCTAGTAAAATAAAAATTTTATATGATCCAGATCTATTCCTATAAATAAAGAGTTCATATCATGAATAAAAAATTATGCACTCTTTCTTACTCTCTAGTATACCTTTTCTCACCTCCTTAGGGTCCGTTTGGGGCAGCTTATAAGTGCGGGCGGCATTTTCAAAACGCCGTCGTACTGTTTGGTTCGTGCGTTTCAACAGCTTATCTGAAACTGCGTTTGAGTTTTTACACTAAATGCAGACCCCGGGTCGACCCCTGCGGTCGGCTCCCGGGTCGCGTTTCAGGATAAACAACTTATCCTGAAACGCACAAGCTGCCCCAAACGGACACTAAAACATTTTGTATCTTGGGAGTGCTTCCTAGACATTTAAGATTAAACACACACACAGATAAATATGTATATTGTGCCGCAAGTTGTGGCCTATTGGTTGGCGGGGTTCACTGTAAGTCCCCTCAAGTCACGGGTTCGATCTCCAATGGCGCTGGGTTCTCGAATATTTAGACACATGGCACAAACTCTCATCATAAGGCCTAGCGCATGGGAAATCAATACTTAGGCCTCTGCCAAATACTAATTAGTTAGTTAGTTCGCAATAAAATGAGTCCACTGTATTCCTTTTGTAGGGGTTCTAAAAATCTGGGTGCTTAATAAGAAGAAAACAAATATAGTGTAAAGTTCAATGCATTTAGAATTTTGTCATCACTAGTTTAAATTAATTATATTTGAAATTCGTTCGATTTTGATGAATTACGAATGTCATATTTGGTCGCTAACTATCGTCGCTCACCACCTGCTCGACTGCTGCTAGATATCACTAGCTGGTGACTGCATGGAGGTTTTATATTGCATTCTTTTTTCGAAGTATTCCCCCAAACATAAAATTATCAATTCATGAATCTGCAGTGCATTCGTCCAAATAATAATATATACTTTTCAATGCACAATATATATTTTTTGTATTAAATTCTTTTTTATCAACAAATCAAACAGGCTTTAAATTAAAAAAATAAATAGCTATATTTTTTTTCTAAATTACCCATCTAGCTTCTCTAGATTACTTTCAAGGTCAATGGTCAAACAATCATTGAATTTTGATTTCAAAAGTATAAAGCTAAATCAATTCTCTCTCTTAAGCCAAGATTTCAACTATATTATATATATATATTGGTAGTCCAGCCTAGCTTAAGTTCTCTAGGATCATACTGGCTGATTGCATTTGTCTTTGGGGTTGTAAACGAGCCGAGCTTGATTGAGCTCAGGCTTGGCTCATGTTCGGCTCGTTCGAAATAGCTCGTGTTCGAAATCGGCTCGTGTTCAAAATCGGCTCGTGAACAGTGTATTCGTGTTCGACTCGACTTAAATATTCGTGTTCGTGTTCGGATTGTGTTCGGCTCGAAATTGGCTCGTTTAACTAAAATTTTGAAAAAT